GACCTGCAGACTCTCAACTATAAATAAATATCCATTGCAACAAATTTTAAGTTGAATTAACAGTCGAAGCCTGCAGTTAATCACATATGGGTATTCTAGTGTATACATATCTACCACATACACACAGCTATCACTTTCACACTTCCCAGAATCATGAAAATGGTCACTGATATCCATCTGTACAACTGTGCCATTATTATTTTTTTTATATAATAATTAGGATTTCACAATTATCAACACAATGGAGTGCAACCCAGTTCAGCTGTGTGGCTACGGAATATGTTCAACAGTTTTTGTTGACAATGTGACAGAGGAATGAGCGAAATTAGACTTTGCGTCATTACAGGACTTATTCATTGCGGCTTCTGGCCTTTTCCTTGGATTTGCTGACTATAAAAGAACAGAAACATAACCAGAGTTCAGTACAAAAAGGATTCTTAGAAACAACAATTACATTAGGGAGGTATTAAGTGACGGTGCCACGGCAAAACAAAGAGCAGGCCATTGTTTCAGAGGAGTATTTGCACACAGGGAGATGAGCGCTGTCATTAAAAGAGCTAATTCACTAGAAGAATCAAGTGGCCTGTCCTAGTGCATGATCCATATCCTCTGCAAAAAAAAAAAAACATTTTCAGCATGCAGGTTGCTGATCGGAGGTGGTTGTGATCCCATAACTAAGATGACTTAAAAAGGTAACACAGAGAGGGAAAGGAGAGGAGAAAGTCGCATGAAATGTGCTGTGGACAAGACAGATTTGTACTTGAAATCTACATCTAGTGAGTCGGACTATAAATACAACGACCCACAAAAGACGGAAAATCCAGAAGGGAAAAATGTCTACTTCACTTTTCTTTTTCTTTAAATAATGCTGTTTGTGCTCACCAGGTCCCAGGTGTGAGTCCTTCCACTCGCTGAAAGCAAAGATTTTGCTGCTAGGACCCATTTTGGTCATCATGTTCACAATGCCTCAAACATCCCGCCGAACACAAAACACCTCCATCTGCAGGCTGACAAAAGAGGAAAGCAGAATAAAAACAGAGTTGCAGGTCAGAGAGTGACAAGAGAAAACCTTAGAGCATTCACCCACTACTTTTTCTGTCAGTCGGGGAGGCGACTCAGATGGCCCCTGTGCACAATTGGGTGTCACCACGGCTCGTCAGGACAGACTCGCTGTGCCACTGCAATCAGCAACCTGCCTTATAGTGCAACTCATCATTGTCAACCCCCCCCAGAAGCTCTTTGAAACATCCTGACAATCCAAGACGGTGTTTCAGTTTGTGTATTTATAAATCCACCACGCTTGCGTTCGTCTCCACTACATTTGTAAAACTCAAAACGACACAAACAGGATCATGTCAAGATGAAACTTTATGAACAGAAGAGAAAAGATCAGCATTGTTCTTTGCAACTTACCCTTACATGTGTGATGTTGTAATTTTTTGAGAGGAGATGTGTAGACTGGTTGGAAAAAGTGAGAAAACACCAGTAAACCAGTGTACGATTGTGTTACTGCCACTCATTTTAAATTCTTGATTACTCAGCCAATTGAGACAACATTCGCAGCGCTTGCTATATGACTGAACGCTTGTGCACGAGTGGTCTCAGCCTCAAGGATTTTGCTTGACAAGTCAGCATAGCTCAGCACTGCCGACTCGGCACCAAAGTTAGCGCGCTACGGGAAAACGCCAACTCCACAGCAGATAAAACAGGTCAGGTCCCCAACACCCTGAGATGGATATCTGCCAATACTTTCAATGTGGAGGGGTTAAAAAAATGTGACTGAGTCTAACAGGTTCATCTGACGGTAAGCAGCTGGATTGGCAGTCATCACCTGACCAGCTTTCACAGATGGTCACAATATTCAGATGGTCAATAAGCTAACTGACAAATGTGTTTTTGTCAAGCCTAATGGATCCAAAGCAAACTGATGAACTGAAGCTAATGACAAATTGATTAAATTAAGGTACATGACAGATATTTTAATCATGTGCGGCAGATGTTATGCTACATGGAAAATAGAAAGTCATTCTCCTGCAGTTGGATGGACATCAGCACATACAGAAATAGACTTGAGATGAAGATTCTCACCTTCAGCTGAAAAAGTGGCTTGAATGGACAGTATTGCATCCTCTGACTTCGATACGCTAGACTTAACAAAAAATAGGAGGAATAAGAAAGAAAGTGTTAACAGAGTCAGAAAAACATTCCAGATTCAGAAAACACAAATCATGGCTGAGCAATAATCCATCGTACATTTTAAGTAGAATCATGTGTAGCATAAGTACAAATGTACACAATACTCTTTCTATGAGGGGTAGGGGTGAGTCAGATGGCCCCTGTGCACACTGTGTGTCCTCAGGTTGGATCGGATTGAGGCGCTGATGCCACTGCAGCAGACACCCCAACTGATTAGTGCAACTCATCACTCTCACACCCATCTCCCCTTTGAGCTATCTTTGAGAATGCAAGGGAACCTGCTGGTCTTGTGTTTACCTCGCGTTTCAGATCAACAGGTGGTTCATCCGCCATGATTTCTAATCCGGGTCTTCAATCCCACTGCTGTGAAGAGTTAACGTAAACCAGCAGGTTAGCCACAGACGTAAAACACAAGCACACAACGTGGCCAAACTTAATAAGGCCACAAAGCAAGAAATACTGAAACTCTGAAAGCTAACCTGGCTTATATGACACGAAAATAAACTGGGATATTTGTTTTCAACGCGCCACACAACAGGAACATTATTTAAAGATTGAATAAAGAACAATATTAACAAACCGAGTTAGCTTATCTACTAGCTGTTTAGCTACGCTAGCTTGTAGCATTCGCTTCAGTTTCTGAAAAGTGCCACACTGTTGGTCACAAAAACAAAGCAAAGGCCAAAAAGACAAAGTAAAAACTTACAAACACGTGTCGGTTTCCGGATTAAAGCGTCCATTTGGCTTTCTTGCTCCTCGTAGCAGCTCGTGTCGCACAAACACAGAGACGCTCGTCTCAATTTAAACAAGCGCTGCTGTAAAGCTAACCGCTGATTGGCTCAAATACCGGAAACACGGTGGATGCTTATTGGACAGTCGAAGTGTTTCACGGACTCGACAGCCAATGAAAAGTTAAATACTTGTCACATGCAATCGCTCGCTTGTAGAGTTTTGAAAACTTGCATGGCTGTCACAGTTTAAAGTAAATTTGATTTATCAGTTAGATTTCAACATTTGTTTGTTTGTTTTCTCCTGCATTACTTTACATCTTACCTTAAATTTATTTTAATTGGCTTTATTTGGAATTTCTTGCTCCCGTGCACATTGAAAATATGGATATTTTCTTCTGTTTTCTGTATACTTATTACAACTCATCAAATCTCGTTAAGGCTGCTAAATCCATCACCCCTACCCACCATATATACTGTATATTACAGAACTTTAATAGTTTTACTCCAGCACCATTGCTGTCTGCTCTCTGTATTTACTGTTAATAACTTTATTTATTCCTGTACGATCAGGATCTAAACAATTCGTATTAAACTTTTTGTCCACTTTTACTTATGCTCTTTTACACAGTCCTTCAATACATATTTTCATCTCTTTAACTTGTTACCTCTGTTTAACAGCATGTGTGTTTTTGTGTGAATACTTTGGGGGTTTCTTTAATGTGCACTTGGCCAGTAAAGCTGATTCTGATTCTGACACATTAAGCAGGAGTCGGGGCGTCCAGGACATTTTAAGTGTTTAACTTCCTGCACTCTGGTGAATTTTTATGCACCGATTTCTCATTTTCTGCATGGGTTTATGATGGAAAACACAAACTCCAGGCACAATGAGTAATGAAAGTTGTGATAAAAGTTCTTTCTTGTTTTTTTATTGGGGTTGACACATGCACATGTTCTAAATATTGAGGCAGCCGTATCCACAGCATTGCCCCTGAAATCTGCGCCTATGCACATACAGATCCTGGATATTTTATTACAGTAATTAAATGTAGTTGTATTCTTAATGAAGGCACAATGAAGCAAGCCCAACGGTGCTTATAGAGTGTGGTAGTAAAGGATTAATGGTGCCCCCATATCCACTATAACAACCCCTGCTGTAATTATTTGAAGGCTGAAAGCATTCAGGGTGTTGCTGTATTCCGTGTGTGGTTTTATCACAGTGTGGCAGTTCAGTGGATGATGTTTTCTGGTGCTGCTTGAAGCTTGTTTACATCAGTAAACAACTACATTTTGAATTATGATTAGTGCAAATTATACATAGTGTTCTTTTTCAGCATCGGTCTCTTCTGCCTCTGTGTGAATGGTATCATTGTGTTTTTTCCTTTATGGGTTTCTGCCCATTATTTTTTAAGTCTTTGTGGCTCAGGCTTGTGGTCCAGGTCTTAACCAGCTCTTTGCAGGGCCTCAGAGCTGCACGATGCCTTTTCTGATTCCTCCTCACTGCAGGCACTCGAGCATTGCACTTACAATTTAAGTGATATTACAAGTTAAGCACTTTACTTATTAAGTCATTTTATAATATAATTCTACCCTTGTCTGTTCTGTACACATGCCAACTGCACTTTATTTATCCTGAAAAAGTCATCCTTCTTCTGTTGCTCTGCCTAAGTGTTCCCCTTTTGTGGAGCTTTTACGTTATCCAGCGGGTTTGAGGATGAATGTTGTTGTACCAAAAAACCCTCTAAACCTAATTTTCTTAGAGCTTTATGAATGACCTGAAGTCAAACTCAGTGATTATACACTTTGTGGGGGGAAAAAAAACAATACTTTTATGCTTCAAATATCTCTCATTATGCCTTTAAAGAATTACAAAAAACTAATTTTTATGTTGGATGACTTGGCTTTATGCCTCCAAAACCCTGATTCTGTGTTTACATCTTTCCGCCCATTGTTCCGTCTGTAATTATCAGCAAAAAAGCCGACATTTGCATCTCCTTTATTGCTATTTGATCACTGCGTCTAATGAGGAACACATTTGTCTAAGAGCAATAAGCGCATAGATGAGTGAGTCGAAGGTTTCATTGAAATGCAAATGCAATTTTATATTAAAAGATAGCAAAGGGATAATTCACTATATCACACAACACAGCTTGTTAGTACTGCCATGGAAATACATATACAGTCTTTTCATATTTACACATCAAGTGACAACCAAACAAAAAAAACAAAAAAAAAAAAAATCATAAATACCTCTTTTTGTTAACTTTACAACAGCTATACGTGACCAGTATTTCATAAGATAAAAGAGCACTATTAAATAACTGGCATCTTCCCTATCATTTACAAGGCTTGGAAACACAGTGGTTAAAATAATCCAGCAAAAAAAAAAAAAAAAAAAGGTTTTCTCCAGTGAGTAAAATTAATACAAGTCTAAAAACGGTCATGAAATCCCTTTGTACAAAAGACTATACAACTTAATCAACGCAATATCAACAGAAATGTTTGCTTATATCCACATGATAAAATCTGTACAGTTTTAGCATTCCTGCAGCAGAGTTGGAGGGACTGTGAGCCAGGAGAATTGGATACTGGGTCGCTATGATGCTCTGGAGGCCTACTGTCAACCAACCGTCAGAGACTGTAGTTTTGTAGCTGCCAAGACCCTCTTTCATTGGCCTCAGTGCTTCGTCTAGCAGCAAATCAGCAAAGTCGCTGAGCTCGTAGCAGATACTTCAAAATACACGGTTCTATAACGTCTAACAGATATATTTGTCAATATAGCAATATAGTATTTCCTCGTACCACGGTTCAACAGACAGAATGGTACTCTAAAGTTAAAGCAATGCACAATATCTTTACTTGAATTAAATTCATTTTTCAGTAAGTTGTCAGTGATATATTTCTAAACTATAACCCTCACTGTCTGATGGGGTCAGACATGCACAGTGTTTCTAAGTTACCCATTTGTTAGACTGTACTGTGGCAGATACTGTGAGTGCACCTTTGCATTACAGACTTAAGAGTAGATGGATCAAATTACCAAAAAAAAAACAAAAAAAACCGAAGTTCTCATTTACCCCTAGTAGTGTTTGGCCAGGCAGATACTTTTGGTTCTATGTGCCAAGTTTCTGATATATTTGCCTCTGAAGCCGAGAGCCAAAGTGAAACTTTTGTGGAAGAGTTCCAAGTAAGAAAATCTAATTGAAAATCACATCGGACTTTTCTCTACAATACTCTTTTTAAACTGCAACGGTAATAATAACTTTAAAAAAAAAGAGAAACAACCGTGTCAAATAGTTGTTTATCTAATATTTCTGTTTGAAGCAGACTTTAAAAACTATCCTCTGCAAGAAAGTTGGAAAGAGGACATCATCAGAGGATGTGGGTGGATAACACTGGTTGAAACAATACATCTGCAAAGAAAAAAAAGATGAAATAATATTTGTCTTACAGAGCAAAATCATAAATTGTTGCTGAATTTGTTTAAAGAGCTTCAAATTCTAACAGTAAGTGCTATGGATAAAATCAAGATGATGAACCCCAGGAACATGCTTCTGTTTTTTGTTTATGTTTTTGAGGAAAGACCAATAAAAGAAATGCTTAATAACAGATTGAGAATGTGGTGTCACACAGACGTATATCTAATCCCTCGGTAAATAAAACCACAACCATCTGCGAGGCTCAAACAGCAGTAGTGGTAAAGTGAGAAAACGTACATTTTAAAAACCTCTAAGAAAAAATAAATATTATAGCTGAAGGAGGAAAAAGAATGAAATGTTTGGCACTTAGGCTGTTACTTCATCGAGGCTTCTTCTGCTATGCCCAAGGATCAGCAAGGATAGAATTACAACTTTAAAAAAAAAAAAAAAACAACAACAACAAAAGGCTCCTTTCAGGTTACTTTTGCAGAGAGCGAACGGACTTCTGCAACCAACTGAGAGTTCCTGTTACAGTAATTTCTTGTTTGATCTGCTGGAGGCTGTAGAAATAAGAAGTCAGAAGTAAATGAGGTCTCCCACTGCCGAGCGCAAATCAGTGAAGTCAAATGAAACAAACATCCCAGACTCAAGATAAATCTCTGTTGACGTGTAAATGGAGAAAGAAGCATGGAGACTCTGTGAAGCCCCACCCTTTGGCACTGTCATAAATACAACTCTTGGATATAACCTGGTCCTGCTGCACAAAACCGGAACACTCTCATCATCATCATCATCCGCTGAAAAGTCAGCAAACCCACTCGACAAGTAAAAAAAATTGTTCATAAATAGAGTTCATAAAGACATGAGTGGCATTAGAGAGAGAGAGAGAGCGTCATGGTTACATCATCCAGGGAGTATGTCGTTTTAGCTTCGTCCAAAAAAAAAAAAAAAAGAAAAGTTCACAAAAAATAAAGGTGGAGTCGTACACAGAGAAGCGTCTGTCGCATTCAGAGTCTGCATCCTTTAAAAAAGGCTCCGGATAACGCTTGTGTCTCTCTGTTCACTCTCTCCCCAGAGTCCTTTGCTTTCTTATTCCAGCATGCTCCTTAGTTTATCACTTTGCCTAACGGCAGTAGCATTGATGGTGCTGTTGGAGGACTGTACTGCATGTGTGCGCAAGTAGGACGGAGCCCCAGTTTCAGAGATAGAAGTTGTGTTTTGTGGGAGCTTAGTTGTGTCTAACCAGGTTCATATGCACCGTTAGTTTACATATGTTACTGTACCTATTCATCTTTGTGTGTTTGTACCAGCTCTAAATACAGGTGTGGATTAGGTAATGATGGTTGACATAAAGCACAGAGGGGCAGCGGGCCGTCCTCACACTTCGCTCTCGGTGGAGGGTTTGCGTATGGAGGCCCAGCCGGTGTCGGGCAGGCTGTGCTGGGCGTGGCGCTGCGGGGTGATGGCCGAGGGGGTCAGGGTGGTTATGGAGGAGCACTCGGACGCCTCCTCCTGCAGGAGCTGCTCCGTCTCGCCGTCGTCTAGCGAGGCGCTGCTGGCCTGCAGGGACACGGTGTCCGTACGCATGCAGGTGTGCAGGCCGCCTCGGGACGGCTTGATCTGTTTTAGGTCGTCCCAGTAAAGCTCGTCGTTGGACAGGAGACACACGCCCTCCACAATGCGGATCTTCTCCTTGGTGTAGCCCCCGTCCACTCCCCCCTGGACACAGAGACGCAGTTAGTTTATCAGAGTGACGCAGCTTAAAGGGAACATCCACCCTCATTCGTTGGGAGCCACTTTCAATAAGCTGCTAAGCTGTGACCCAGCTCTCCCTTATTTCCTTATTACATGCCTGTTTCTTTCCTCCTTTCGTCCCTCGCTATCCTCTTTTTTCAAGAATAATTACATTTATCGCTGCCAACATCAGCTGCAAATAAATAAGAAAACTTTAAAAAGCTCTTAAAGGTGGACTTCCCCTGTGGATTAATCAGCAACCAACTTCACAACACTCCCAAACAAAAATGTCACCTTCAAACACAAGCCATGCCCCAGTCGGCTCGTTTCTAATAACGCTGCGCTTTCGTCTGCAGTTAGTTTTTCATTTTAAGATTAAGGTGCTACAGGTATATAATTACCATAAACAAAAACAGCAGCCGGTGTAATTGAGGGTAAAATCCACAGGATGCTTAATGGCCTAAGAACAGGGAGACCGTGTTGTTTTTCCAGGCCAAAAAAGAGCAACGGCTGCTTATTCTGTTCTATAACAGGCCAGTCACACAGTTTGAAGTATTTCAAAAGACATCCGTAGTGAGTAAGAACGGGAACTGGGCTGAGCTTTACATACACAGGTCATAATGTTGAGTTAAACTAAATTTGGACATCCTTAACTTGTCTCTTTAGGCAAAAAACAACATGTTAGTTGCAGCAGGAACTACGAGAGTTTCTGGGAAATTTAGTGTCGAGTTTAACTCTCTGAAGTGAAAAACGTATTAAAGGCACGATGTCTTTAAAGAAATGTTAAATTACTAAAATTAGAGCACACATCAGAGCCAGATGCTGTAAAAACTGAAACAAAATCTTATCTTAAAGCTATCCTACATTCCTTGAACTACTTATCTTTGATGTGCCGTTCAGTCGGAAAACCTACAATCGTGTTATTTAATTGAAGGCACTACAGACTCCACATAGGTCTTATTAAAAAAAAAATAATGGTATTAATAAACCATTTGATCTAACCACAATCTGCAAAAATCTAAAAATTCTGCTTTCCTCACTGCAACTGGAAAGCCATGCGTGACTTTTCCAGAAAAGAAGAGTCATGTGATAAAAATTCTTGGACTTTTCAGTTAAACTGAGCTGAACTGCAGGCTGTGCATCCACAGAGCAGATGGGAGAACGGTAAGAAAAAGAGGTATATAAGCAGTAAAATAGCTATAGTGTAGTGTGTAGAGTCACCCTGTTTTTGTGGGCACAAGAGAAATGTTGGATGTGTTGATTCCAGGTGTTTTCATTATAAAATAAGTAACCAAAGAAATTCAACTTATAATTACTTTAGTTTTATGATTTATGGCGTCATAATTTCTGCACAAAAGTGAGTATAAATGTGACAGAAGCAACAGACGCTCAGAGGGTTAGGAAGTGTTATCATTTACTTTGGAGTGGTGACTTAGAGGCGACCAACTGTTCACACCGCTGTCTTGGTTGTTTATGGTAATTTTAAGGTTTCGCTGCTGATTGGAGAATTAAATAATTCTGATTACTGCTGCTACATGTAGCACCTTGAACCAAATCTGTCCATTTGTTTAGATTCCTCGTCTCTCGAAATGTCATTTTCACAAACAAACCTGATGAGTAGCACAAACATGGACATGCTGCTGATCACAGAGTTCTCAAACTGCACCAAAGGAGGATGTTATTCATTTTGGAAAAGCGGGTTGCATGCGGTGAAAGACGGCAGAAATGAAGGGAAACCCAAAAAAAAGGCAACTCTCTGTTAGAGAGGACGTGACTCCTCCATGCTGTGTAACTACCTCTCCACGGAACAAGTGGGTCAAAAGATAAAGGGAGAGAGGGAGTTGTAGGGATGAGAGAGCTGCGGTGAAGGAAGAGAGGTGGAAGAGAAGATGAGTGCCGGTCTCTGTGACCTACTCGCGATATTTCAGCACAATCAGTCTGAGCGGAGACAAACAGTTTGTCTCTGTGGTTACCCACGACACAGTCTGTGATCATCCTATGAAAATATCATGGATTCACCTTAAATCCATTCAAATATTAAGCAAAAGAAACGTGTGGTTTCTTCAGCGTCCACACGGATTGTTACCTCTTTCTTATATCGAAGCTGGTTGTATATGGGAGGCTTCTGCGACGTCTCGATCTTCACCTCTTGCGTGGACGTCCGGTATGAGGGGTTACTGTAGGTCAGATTGCTCACTCCAGGGTCGGCAAACTTTGACTTCTTATGTCTGTCGAAAACAGGAAAATAACAGCACATGACTTTTTATTACCTGAACTAGTCACTGTGTATGAAATGTAGGTGGTTCTACCCAGTTAGGGGTCAACCAGGATACTGACCTGTAAATAATCAAAGCAGCAATGAGGATCAGGATGGCCAGGATGGTCAGAACTCCACCGATCACATAGCTGATATGAAGTCCTTCGCCTACGTCAGACAGAACATGTTAAAGACGAATGTGTCCACAGAAAAATCCTGGAGCTCTGCTTTAAAAAACGTTTAGAAAATACTGTCGCTGGTACTCCTCCTCGATTTCAGTTTCATCTCAGTTCAGTTCTGAAGGTGATTCGCCTCACTTAGGAGGTCAGTGTGTGGTAGAAGGTAGTGTTGTGAAGTATTGTCATATTTACAACCTAAAAGCTCTCAAAGGTCTCATTTTACTTCTAATGCAACTTTAACCTAAATTATAAACGCCCTCAAACTTTGACTGAGAGTTGTATGACTCTAGTGTTGGTCCTGTGAGGATCAAAACAACGTGGATTTAGTCAAAATAGCACAATAATATAGTTTCTGATTGATTTCATTGTTGGTTTGATTTACTTTAACATGTTGCCCGTTTATGTTTCCTCAGTTTGTCTTATTGTAAGACACTTAACCCTGTTTTTTAAAAGTCCTACATTAATAAAGTTTAATAGTATATTTAATACACCATTTAATCACCTTTGCTTTTTAAGACATTTTATCATTTTTCATGCCAACTCAGACACATCAGAGCTTCAAAAACTGTTTCTGTCATAACAGCTTGTAGGTTGATTTGTGTGACATTTACAAGTTGGAAACTACAGACTGTGTATAAAAGATGTCTGGAAATGTCCCACCGTCAGCCATTGTTTTGTACATGACGATTTTGAAGCTTTGAGTTTGGCATGTGGCCATCATCATCTTCTTGGTTTTTGGCAACAAACGAGGCGTAGATCTTAGAACTAGTGGACTCTATGCCCGGTAATGTGGTAGCGACCTGTCAGTCACAAGTTATCTGCTCTAAAGTATCCCCTGCTTTATCATTCTGTGTTGATTTTCTTTAAATGGGACCATAATTTACAAAATGAACACCGTGCTGTTTTAAAAAAAGTCTTGAACTAGTGATTGAGACCATAAACCTCTGAGGAAAATGTTTACTGAGGTAACAGATCCAGCTAGAAGTTGATTCATGATCTCACAGACTTCTATACAATCTGATTCATTTGTGCAACCAGAGGAGTCGCCCCCTGCTGGCTGTTAGAAAACAGATCATTACTGTAGCTCCAGCATGTTATTAAGGCTTAACTGGAAGCCTCCAAACAACTGTCCTGACGCTCCTTAGACAAAAACCTTCACCAACTTTACATAAAACCCAATGCCTCAAATCACAGCTCTTCGCTGTGTGTCAATGAGATGCTGAAAGTCGTACTTCACATTCTCACAGAGCTAGGGTAACAGTTTGCCCTTATTTCCCATCAGTTAGCCGAGCTCAGCTACAAACATCTACAACTTATCTCTGTACTCGACAAGTAGATGAAATGAATGCATTGTTCTTCTTGTTCTACAGTCAGTAAACTGGTAGATGTGAGTTTCCCAAAGTTCCTTTAAGTCTACATGTGGTGTACCAACTGATGAGGAGCAAACGTTTCCATGTACTGACCGTGAGGAGCCGTAACCACGGTGTTCAAGCAGCCTTCCACGTTGAGGTTCTTGTCAGTGCAGCTGTGGGAGGAGGAAATAAACCCAGATTTAGAAAATAAATACTGTGACACAGGAGACTTAACATTAGCTGTATTGGATTAATTAAGTCATTATATAGGTTTGGTGAATGCAACTGTTTGCCTTTGGGGAGACTTTGTGAGCTGCTGTAGTTTTACGGCAGTTTGAAAACATCTTTGAGTTTTATGCTGCTCCTCTACGGGGTGAGAAAATTCTCCAACCGCTTAGGTGCAGAAAAGACCAATTATTGCTACTAAAGTAGAACAGAAGAACCTCAAAACTGTGAATCTGGACGGCATGCTGCTATTAGAAACTGTTCACATATGATGCCAACATACATGGCAGAAGAACAACGTCTGCTCCCTCAGTTATGTTAAAGATCAGTTATGCTTAGTAGGATTACAATTAACCCAAAAGCACAAACGGACGTACTTGACCAGCGAGGGTCCTCTGTGCGGCGTGTCTGTTGGAGCTTTGGGGATCTTGTTGGGGACGGGGGTGCTGCTGGTTCCTCTGGCAGGAGAAGTTGGGATGTAACCTGAAACTGATAAACACAAGCAGGAACATAAGGGAAGATACTTCAAGTGGGTTTTTTTTGCTACTCTGTTAAAACCTGAGATATTTATGGCCAAGATATTCCTACTAAGAAAAGGTCAGCACAATCTACACAGGTAGTAGTGCCACTCACTTGTTGAACAGGGTCGCCCATCCGGCTCATCGGGGCAGGCGCACACAAAACTGTTGGTCTTAGCGAAGCACAGGTGAGTGCAGCCACCGTTATTTACCCCACAGAGGTTAGTACCTGAGAAAGAGGAGAAAAGGGCTCATTGACAAGCGGCACCAAACAGTCCGAGCGGTTCATCTGAGATCAGGGAGAGAGTTTGGTTCATTTCATCAGACGAGAACAATGAGATTTTAATTCAACTGGCATCTAGTTGTGACACTGGAGAGAAGGAGGTCTCGGCCTTCTTGAACAGAACTGCGATGCAATTTGATACAAATTGAAATGCGATTCAAACTAATTACCAGAGGGTACCTCACGCAAAATCATTTCTCCATTTATCAGATTACATTTAACGTGCTCAAACAAATCCATCATGCTTAGCTAATTGACATTTAAGCGAATGGAATTAGATTTCTTTTCAGGACCCCTCAGCATAAACCTTAATCATGCCTGAGAAAAGGTTACTTAACTGGGGCTAACCAGCCGTGCCGGTGGTCATATTGACAGACCAATTACTGAGGACTGAGAATATTTCATACTTCCACGTCAGCCTGTGCTGCTTCAGCATCGAGGCAGGTTTATTTGCAGAGCAAAATCTCAACAAAGTGGTTTAGATAAAAGATGAAAAGAATCAAGATGAAAATAAAATATAAATGGCATTTCAATTTCAGTTAAATAGAGAATAAATACTATAAGAATATAGAAAAGTTTAAGATAGTTTAAAGCAGTTTAAGATATTTTAAAAAAAAACTCAGATTTGGTTCAATAAAAGGAAAACAGAAAAGTTTTCAGCCTTGATCTGGAAGATAAAGATGTAGATAAAAATGTGTGCAATATTAATACTTCTCTGTCAGTATTTATATTCATGAAAGAATCTGTGCAATACCACTTTTATGTGCAATAATGTTAGAATTTGGGCAATCAGAATTAGTATTTATGTATATTTTTGGTTAATTTATAAAAAATGTTGCTTCTGATATTCTTTAATTGTTTGCTTTATCCCATTTGCTGCTGTAACAATGCAAATTTCCATGCTGTGGGATTAATAAAGGATTACTGTATCCTATCATTAAAGAACTGAGAGTTACAGCAGACCTGCAGGAAGTTTGTTCCAGATAGCAGAGCTGTCATAGATGACCTCAAAAGCCTGGATGGCTCATAATGAAGCAGCAGATCATTTTTCGGTGCTTTGTAAACCAAAATCAACTCTTTGGCGGACGGGAAACCAGAATTAACCCCAGTGAGGTGTTGAGTGTCTCCCATGTCAGATGGAGCTGCCTCCTTACCTGTCTGTCTGTGAGGAGATACCACTATAATGTCCATGAGGCCCTCCACGTTGGCCAGCACAGTTTCCTTGTTGCGGCCCGTGTGCTTGTCCACCCGCTGGATGGACTTAGTCTGCCAGTCCGTCCAGTAGATCCAGCGGTCTTGCTGCGAGAGTCGGGAGAAAGGAGTTAGAGGGGAGGACACCGGCTTCAACTGGGGAAACGAGGGAGAAGAAGAAGAAGAGAGGAGAGGAAAAACACAGACAAGGAGCAGGGGGCCGAGAGGAAGAAAAGGGGGAAGGGAGAGGGGGAGGGGAGGAAGAAAAATGAGGGTCAGAGTGGAAGGGAAGTAGAAGAAATGGTTAAGTCGAATGGGTTCAGTATGAGCTGGAGGACGGAGAGACGACCAGTGAGAACCACACGGTGAGCCGATGAGTGAAAGAGAGCAGGTGAGTGGAGGAGGGGTCAGCCCAGTGATTGACAGCTCGGGGTGAGGAGGGTCGGGGGGGGAGGGTACCTGAGTCAGGGCGAACGGGTGGGACACCGGGCTGACGAGGACCTGACGCAGTTTGCCGTTCAGGTCGGAGCTCTCGATGCGGTCCAAGTGGGCGTCCACCCAGAAGATCCTGCAGGAAGCATCACACGTTCATTAACGCACTTCTGTCACAGTGCAGTCAGTTTATCCAACCCCTGGATGTCCTGGAGCATTATTGCATGCTGTTTTATTATTACAGTTGTTTTATAAGTACAGTTATGTTCAGTGGTTACACAAAAACAAACCTTTGTTCATCGTGTGGCTGGCAAACAGAAATCACTTGATAATAAAACTTTATTTACATCATTTAAAGACCAACTTGCAGGTTGGATTTTCACTTTAAAAAAATGCTTTTTAAATAAAAATTTCCAAGTAATGTTAGGAGTTAAATGAGAAATAAAGGCTCTAAATCTGATATATTTTCCAAAAATCGAGTTCCTGTGTTATTTCCTTGCACATTTAAAGTCAGAGGTTAACAAGGTGTGTCTGAAAATGCTGCTTCTTCCTCTGACCTTCGTGTGTCGTAGTCCAGTGTGAGACCGTTGGGCCATCCCAGGTCGGTGTTGATCAGAACCTTTCGGTCGGAGCCGTCCAGGTGAGATCTCTCGATCTTTGCAATGTGGCCCCAGTCGGTCCAGAAGAGGAACCTGCAGAGATGAAGAGGACAGTTTCTATTTTGTTCTGCCGCTCTATCATCTGTCTTTAAGGCATCTTTTAACAATTAAAGAAAATATGAAACTACTTTCTGTCAACAGCTCAGGAGTCAAAACCCAGTTTTTAAATTTGCGGTTCAACATTCAGTCCGTCCTCTCACCCTTTGCTCGGGAACACTGCGATGGCTCGGGGCTCATCCAAACTGTTGTTGACCAGAACTTTGCGACTGGTTCCCTCCAGACGGGCCACCTCTATGGTGTTGCGCCCGGTGTCGGTCCAGTACATGTTTCTGGCCACCCAGTCCACGGCGAGTCCATCTGTGGTCTTCAGGCCCTGGCTGATCACCGTCTCCATGTCACTGCCGTCCAGGTTCGCTCGCCTAAAGAACAAACGGACAGGATAGATATTAAAATGCTAAAGGGTCACTTAAATGCAGCAAATAACACATTCAGGTGACACCATTTTTATTCTCTTCTATCCTAATGTTAGCAAATGTTGCTATTGTGCACAGAACTGTAAGATATATTTTATTTTTTAAAACTTTTTGAAAAAAATTCAAGTGTGTTTTCAGTCTCACCGCATCAGTATTTTTTCTTTCTCTACAAAATTCAAGTAACCCTTTTTCATTTGAGCATAATCGCCATAGTTTAGGTGACAGTAGATAACAAAAGTTTGTGTTTGCACCTGATAACGTCCAGCGTGACGTCCGTGTAGTAAATCTTTCCGTCCACGCTGTCGTAGTCCAGCGAGATGACGTTGTGCAGCTCGGGCACCGGTACGTGGACGTCGGTGTGGTCGTTGGTGTCCAGGGAGATCCTGCGAACGCTGACCCGGTTGGAGAACAGCAGGTACGTCTCCGGGGAGTCGTCGCACGACCTGCTGTCTCCCTTCAGCAGGATGCCCGTGGGACAGGCGCAGGAAGTGCCGTTGGGGCGAGGCAGGCACAGGTGGGTGCAGCCCCCGTTCCTCCTGCCGCATTTATTAAAACCTGAGGAGGCCACAGACAGAAGGGTTGGTGCAAAGAGACACAGAGACGCTTTGCTGCACAACAGTGAATCTGTCCTCACAGCAGATTCTTTGGGGCAACATAAAATTACTCATCAAACCCAAGGTGAGCGAGGCACAATATAATAAGCAGCAGCTATGCCAAAGCAAACAAAACAACAAATGAATCTGAGATGCACAAAAAACTCCAAGAGACCCACTAAATTTCCTGCAGTCTTACTTTGTGGTCGTTTCTGTTGATTTCTGGGGGAAATAAAACCGACTCACCCAGTGGCCTCTCTCTGTCCACAGCCTGGATGTCCATCAGGCCCGGCAGGTTGGCTCTCACTGTGATGGTGTTGGCCCCGGTGTTCTTGTCAGCTCGCTGGATGCTGCGGCTCTGCCAGTCGGTCCAGTAGATGTAGGAGCCCAGCAGGGTTAAACCGTACGGGTGCTGGACCGGAGTCACAAGGGTGCGGCGGTTCTGCCCGTTCAGGTCGGACGCCTCGATGCGCTGCAGAGGAGCAGAGAGGAGAGGGCGGTTACCAACATCTTTTACCTTAATGCATTTGCATTTTAGTCAGTTAGCAGTTATAACCTTCTGAAGCCCAAAATCCACAAGTAGGTTTAAAAGTTTTGATATATATTTTTTTGAAATGACACCACTTGTCAGAGTCAGAAACTGTAAAGACACTGAACTTATCGTGTGTGACCTTCAGGCTTGTCAGGAAAACTAACCACATCTAATGTGAAAAGCATAATGATTTAATCAAAATCACTTTATTCTACATGTCAGATGAATTCAAGCTGTTTGTCATAGGCAGATTCTGTAAAAAGTAAAAGCCATTTTAGACTTGCAGAGGAACCAAGAAGCTTTGTTCTCCCTGGGTTCTACAGCTTCCTCCCATAGCTCCAAAACATGCTGAGGCCAATTAGTGAATCTAAATTTGCCTGTAGGTGTGTGTGTGTGTGTGAGAGCGCTTGTTTGTCTGTCTTATTCCAAGTCCCTAAAACAGCAACCAGTGCTCCTACTCTTTTATAACATATGATCTGTGAGGTAAAAACTGTCATGTGACTGTCATGAGTCGCCACTGACCTCCGTGTGAGCGTCGGCCCACAGCAGCTGTGAGCCGGCCATGTCGATGGCCAGGCCATTGGGCCAGCCCAGGTTGTTACTGATGAGCACCACACGGTCGGATCCGTCCATCGCCGAGCGCTCCAGCTTGGCGTGTTCTCCCCAGTCCGTCCAGTACATGTAACTGGAGAACAGAAAGGACACAGCGGTCAGAGGGTAGAATAGAGGATAAGGAGTTACAGCATACAATCATCAATGGCGATTATCACGACTCTGGAATTACAGCCAACACCCAAGTTCAGGTTCACAGCTGAAGTGAGCGTCATCGCAGTCCTCACCCCATCTCGTGGTAGAGGGCGATGGCTCGAGGGCTGTCCAGGTTTTGCCACACGAGAACTTTCCTCATGGAGCCGTCCAGGTTGGCGACTTCGATGCGGTTGGTCCCCGTGTCTGTCCAGTAGATCTTCCTGCCAACAGCGTCCACTGCCAGACCGTCAGTGGTCATCAAGCCTGGAGAGAGAAACAAAGATGGAGTCAGGACGCTGTGACAAACCAAACAGGACTGTTCCCGTGGCAGCGGTCCTCCTCACCTGTGGACATGATGTCTTCCTGCGCTGACCCGTTGATGTTCGATCTGCTGATTTTCTTCAGCGTGCTGTCGGACCAGTAGACTTTTCCTGCAGGAGGTTTCACAGACACACATAAGGACTCCACTTTTACCTCTTTTGAAACAAGCCCTCGACAACGTAGAGAAGACACACAAACCTTCTTTGGGGTCAACCCCGATGGCGATGGTGTTTTTCATGGAGCTATTGACGGCCAAAACCACATCAGCAAAGTAAGGGATGTCCAGAGAAACCATCCTGATGTCCGTCCTCCGTGCAAAGATCAGGAAGCTGCTCATCCCTGCACACAAACAGAACGAACATCAGCACACCGCAGCACCTTCCTGCCAGAAAAGAGGCTGACGTGTTTTATCTTCATAGCATCAAAAGTTCCTTTTATCTGCCGGCTTACAAAAATATATATATATATATATACTTTTGTCTTTCCTTCCGTAATGTTCCGTATGTCTGTTATGTAAGTAGTTTATTTTTGACACAGATTATGTGAAAACATCTTGAGGAGCTTCCTTTGAACCCACCAGCAGGTTTGTTATTGTTTCAAAACCTGCCAGAACCACAGAATTTATCACAGCAAGAAACCGGAAAAACACTTTAAATGGGTGGATTTTAAACTTTTCAACCATCCTTAAAATATTTTTGTTTGATTTTTTAATGTAACATAGAAGAACAACCAAAGCTAAGCTAACATCGCTATATTTCACTAATAGCACTTTATTGTGCACTTTAAAATATCAAACGTTTGCAGTAAACAGATTGTATTAAACACTAAAAATTATGCACCCTGCAGCACAACAAACATGTTCGTGACTCATATACAACCAACAGTCATGTAACAGAAAATCAGAGACTTTTGCACAGATCACACAGTAGAAAAGGATTAAATTTACAAGTAGTAAAATATTCTATAGTATATAAAACACTTTTTTCCCAATGGTGGTTACACCATATTACGAAAAATATTGTATATGCTGACTCCAGGATTTTTAATTTTAAAAAACAAGATATCAAAGATATTTTTAAAAATGATTTATGGCATTATAATTGTCTTATACTGCATAAAACAGATTTTTGAGTTTCCTCTGCTTCTGGCCATAGTTGTGCTCTTTCCATAGAGGTGCAGGACTTTCCATTGCAGAGAAAAATGAGCCCACAGTGAGGAAAAATGTGACAGGATCCAATAAATGCCGAGAAATCTCTTAGGGTTCAGAGGGTTAAATTGATTTCTGTACGTTCGTCCTCAAGAAACATCAGTGAAATGTTGTAGAAACTCGTCCAGGATGCCCTCTAAATTTATATTTTTGGGTCACATGTTTGTGAAATGTAAACAGAGGTTGTTTCCTACCAGGCGTGCAGGTCTTCCCGTCCGTCTGCAGGTTGATCCCAGTGGGACAAGCGCAGCTGGAGGCTTTGGGAGCAGGCGCCAGGAGACAGAGGTGGCTGCAGCCTCCATTATTCACCTCGCACGGGTTACGCACTACAGACAGAGACACAGACACACTCGGTTCACCCGCCACTTTCTAGGTCGGCTTAGAAGCGAAGAATGGGAGAAATTAGGGCAAACAAAAACACACAAAGCTGCAGATACAAACACTGAAACCCCATCTGGGAGCACGGTGAGATCAGTGAGGTTTCAGCTCGGTAGCTGCCCCCCGAGGCTCTGCCCTTCCTACCCGATGATCTGAGTTCAGTTTCCCCGTAACCCCCCCAGTGTCAGCACAGATATGGGATCTGAGCTCAGAGAAAAGGCAGCACAGATCAGAACGGAGAAAGGAGGTTTTGTTTCCTTTGTCTTAAGGGACTCGTCTGAGAGAACAAACAAAATGTGGTCGACAAGTGGAAGAATAAAGGCATATTTTTCATTTGGGCTTTTTCTATTTACGAGGGTTCATCAAGCCATTCCAACACATGCGAGCAGTAACGATCGTGAGTCCTGTGTTCCTCGTGTGTTTGTGGCCACAGCGATTTCCTAGTGGGGCACAAACTGGAGCAGAGAAGAAAATGTCGCATTCTGTGTCATGGTTCAGCCTTTATTTACCATATATACATATATTACATATATATTTACCACCATCCCCTCTGGCAAAGTCATGACAGCCCATACCAACAGACTAAAACACAGTTTTCTCCCCAAGGCTGTGAAGAGACTGCTGCAGGAACCATGACACTCCCAGTTTACGGACTCATTCTAACAAATGCTCTTTTGCACTTTTAATAGAGGATTTATTTTATTGCTATTTTATTATCGATATCACCTTTTCACTTTTTCCCCCCTTAGAACTGTGACCATATTAGCTGCTACAATAACAATAAAGCTTCTTCTTCATGTCGAGGATCATCAATGGTGACGAGAGGTGAGTCTACAGCTACCACCGACAGAAGAAGCAGCAGTTTTTACAGTGGAGGAGCCACAAGTTCCAAAATGGGACGAGGTGCATCAGGTGAGGAGCAGCAGGAGCATGCTCGGTTATTAATTCCAGGAAGTAGGTTTTTTTGGCCACACCCACACAATCAACCGTCCCCACTCATCAGATTTGGCTCCATGTGACTTCTTCCTCTTCCAAAAAATGAAATTAAAGTTAAAGGATCGCCGTTTTTACACAGTTAAGGAGATTGAGTGCAGATGGTGCTTTACATTTTTACATAAAGGGACTTGTAGGGAGCGTTCCGAGTGTTGCAGAAGCACTGAGAGTGGTGTATTGCTGCACAAGGAGACTAACAACATACAGGTTTTGATTTTTATAGGCACAATCTGGAACTTTTTGATCCGCCAAATCCGACTGACTAACCCCATAGTGTTTTGTACTTTAGCTGTTTGAGCTAATGCTAGCAGGACAGGCTGCTCCATAACTCAGCACCATGGAGGCCGATTAGCGTATCGACTGCAAATTCCAGTCACTAGCCATTAAAATGGACAGAGTTCTGACACACTGATCATCTGAGGTTGTTCCATTGACATCAGCTCCAATGTTTTGCACTACAGAAACAAACACCTACTGACTGTTCTTGATCTGGCATGTGGGTGAACACCAACCTGTCTCTCGGTGTCGATGGAACATGTGGATGTCCATGAGGTTCTCCAGGTTTTCGGCCAGCGTGTGTCGACCCAAACCGGTGAGCTTGTCAGCGCTCTGGATGCTCTTCGACTGCCAGTCTGTCCAGTACAACTTGTCCTTGTGCACCGTCAGGCCGAAGGGGTGAGGCAGCTGGGTGCCGATCAAAACCTGTGTGCAAAAACAGCAGTGGAGGTCTCATGAGATCGATAGACAGGCTTCACTAGAGAGCAAATCTCAACCAAAGATGAACCCTTCATCACACTGTTGCTAACAAAATACAGAATGTATACTATTTATTTTTAAAGGATTTCTCAAAAAATTCTGCTTAAAAACTGATTAACGTTCTTCACCTGTCGATCAGAACCGTCAAAGTTCCCAAACTCAATAGTCTTCATGCCAGCGTCGGCCCAGTACAGCCGCTTGGTCTCGTAGTCGATGGCGAGGCCGTTGGGCCACGTCAGGTTGGATGAGATGATGACGATGCGACTCGACGCGTCCATTCCTGCACGCTCGATCTTCGGGTTGGCGCCCCAGTCGGTCCAGTACATGAAACTACGGAGAGAGAATAAACAAACGAGAGTTCCTAGCGGTGTCCACACTCACATTTTACTTCTTATAAACCTTCTTGATCATCTCACCCTCCGATCGGGTCGATGACAATGTCCCGGGGCCGGTCCAGGTTCTCCCATATCAGGACGGTCCGCATGCTGCCGTCGGCGTTCGACACTTCAATGCGATCCGTTCCTGACACACAAAACAAGACTGATTAAAAATACAAGAGCAAACGCCGCCATGCAGGTGTTGCACATAATGGTTAAGAAATACTATTTGATGAGAGAATATGTGAAATGAGGCTGTTTACCAGCATCAGTCCAGTACAGCTTGCTGGTCACCCAGTCAATCGCCAGACCTGCTGGACTCTCCAGACTGGTGTCCACCACCACCTGGAAAACAAGACAACAAACACGTGAATTTACTCTGACAGTTCGTGGCAGCCTGGTGTTACATCCTGAATCTTCCAGTCCTTACATCTACCTAGATTTGTTCTTACAACTGTTGTGTCAGCTTTGCTGTTTTTGACTTGTGTGTTAATCGTCTGTTTTGTGGAAAAATGAGAGATGACTCACTGATTTCATCCTTTAAATCCTACAGGGACGTTTTTGGTAAACAAGTTAAAGCCTGAATTTGTGAATTTGAAAACCAAGTTAACTGAATTTCACCCTCTGAACCCAGAAACCTAGCTTGACATGCACGTCACCTTTTCTCTTTTTCTATTTTTTAATAATCGCCCAAATTACGCCATTTATCAGAGCCAGAAACTGTAAAAACAGAAAGAATTGTCAGATTGTTTAACTTAACGACATGTAAGGAAACCAAAGTCAAACTTTAAATCATGATATTTCATCAAAATCACTTTATTTTGCCCATCTCATTTAAAAAAAATTAACCAAATTAAGTCATATAATAACAATTCTATAATTATTTCAATTGAAGTTTGTTCAACTTGTATCCTTCCACTGCCAACACCTGTAGGCAGTTAGAAAAATGGTCCCTGCAGGTTTTAAAACATTTTTTTGTAAAACAAGCAACCAAAGAAACTTGACCAGTGCATGATTTTACACTGAAGAACAAATAGAAGAAAAATGTGACAGGAGTTAAAAAAAGAACCAGACAGCGTGGAGTTCAGGTGGTTATAACAAAGCTGCTGAACTAAACAGAGAATGACTTGCTGCTGCACTTTCACATCATCACCAGCAGATGGCGGTGTTACATAAACTGAAACGCTGCTGTCTCCTGCTGCTGCTCTCCTCCTGATAAATGTAGGACAGATGAGAAATGGTGCGTTTTTGTGCCTGACTGTGGATGCGACTGACCTCCTGCTTGCTGCCGTTCCACAGAGCTCTGTTGATGGAGTCGGTGGTGACGTCCGTCCAGTAGATGTAGCCGTCTTTGGCGTCCCAGTCCAGAGCCACGGCATTGCGCACATCAGCCAGAGGGATGACATCATCGGACATGTCCTCTGTGTCGAAGCTGATTCGTCGGATGTCCGTCCTTCGGGCAAAAAGCAGGAACTTGTCAAGACCTGATTAAAGACCAAAGGTCTTCTGTCAGTCTTCTAGGTTTAACAGTGGGGTCAAAAGTGAACACAGCAAAACAGCACTACCACAAAGACATCCAGCAGCCCTTAAAGGGGAAATCCAACCAAAGTGACTTATTAATATCATAAATCACAAACCCTCCCTTAACATAATATATACAGAACTATGAAAGTGAAATTCTGATGTTTTTATGACTACAGGGTGTGTAAGTGTCAAATAATTCTATTCTGAGCAGCACAACTGTCACAGGGTGGTGAAAAAATGTTTCATTAATTGATGAATCATTAAAAAATCATGCAAAACAATTCATTTTAGTTCCGCACTTCCTCAGCTACACTGAGCCTCAACATGTAATTTAACCTGTTTTATATTTTCATTAATTGAGATCTCACTCTACATGTAGGAGTATAATCCTCCGCATAGCCTTTTTTTTTTTTCTCTCTGAAATTTAGTTTCCTCTGACAACCAACACCTCGACTGCCAGGCTGATCTGATTAACTGTGCGCGCACAGGATTATCTTTTCCAATTTAGCTTCTTAAACATGCACTGTTTAAACCTTGCAGTCAGAGGAGTCAGAAGACCAAAGATGTAGTAGAAGATTAGTCTAAAAGTTACAAAAAATGTTTTATTCATAATCACAAGACTGCAATTTGTTCTTAAAAATGACTAAAAAGGGACACAAACATGATTGTGGGTGTAGTAACCACTGAAAATGACATTTAAAAAAGCCTAAATAATATATATGTATATTAAAAAATGCAATAATTGTGGGACATATAAACACCACCCGCTCTAGTATGGCACATATGACAGTATTGCTGAGCTCACCGTTGGCACAGTTGTAGTGGTCGACCTTCTTGAAGCCGGTGGGACAGGCGCAGGTGTACGTCTTGTTGCTGGGGAGACACAGGTGGCTGCAGCCGCCGTTGTTGGTTCCGCAGCGGTTCTTGCCACCTGGTGGACACACACAGACACAAACAACTCAGTGTACAACGGTTTATGTGGAAATACGACTGTTTCTCCTACTGTGTTGTATAAAATATGTTCAAATCAGTGCAACCCAACCCGACAAAGCAAGCAAGCACACTGTCCAAAAAGTGTTTCTTTTCAATGATGCAACATCTGCTGAGTTTAGTCTTCTGTTCCTCGAAATGCCAACATCTGGATTTCACTTGCATCCTCTTTACTGGACAGAGAGTTGTGCTTAGGCTGCACCTCAACGAAAACAAAGAGCGCCTGACCTCCTTCTGCCAGCACAGAGGCAGCTCGCAGTTCGTCTTCGTGTCGGACCATACGAGTATTTTATCAGCGTGATAACGAAAACTTAGTCTTGGCTGCAGGTCAGGTTCAGCACGGTTTGTTAGCAAAGAACACAAGTCTTTGCTGTCACGCTGATAAAGCACCTCGACCGGCCGGTTCACCACAGGCCCTAACGCCAGAGCAGCAAATCAGTCGATCGTCTGTGGGGTTCGCCACCATGAGAAACAAGCTTTCACCTCAGAGTGTAATGATAGACCTTAAAGAAGGCTCCTGCTCGCTGCGTTTGTCCTCAACCAGCTCATTTTTCACCCTCTAATGTTGAAGTTCTGTTTGATGTTTTGTTGTTGTGCGTTTTATTCGCCTGTCTGCTGCACAGAATGTTTCAAGCTGCAAACTTTGATATTTTTTAAAAAATGGGTCAATCATGCTGACGTTATGTAGAGTCCAGTATAGCACGCACTGCTCTGTCCACACACACTGAATAGTATGTTATCGTCAGTGTTTCTGTGTAGATTCTTAGTCATCCAGGTTCATCCTGAGTGCTTAAATAGGAGGCAGCTGGGCTTCTTTTTGGTTCTTTCACGTCTTCGGGAACTGAAAAAGAAGCCTGGCTGCCTTTGATTCCAGCACTCAGGGTTATTGTCAGTGATGTTTTAGCAATAAAAAGAAAAATCATGAACCAAAAACCACCAAAATTGATGTCAATTTCCATATAAAAAAGGCAAAATGTCACATAAATACAGACTTTTTTTTTTTTGCTGCTCCTTGTTTTTGAATTCATCCACTTATAAGCAATTGATTGGTCCAATTTAAGTCACTGCTTTGTGACCCAACATCAACGATACGATCTTTGATATAAATCACTGTACACTGAGTTCACTGGAGAAACAGGCTTCTGCGGCGTTAAGGATAACTCATGCTTTCTGCTTCTGCAAGTAGGCGTGACTTTTGTTGTGATTTTGTCATCCACCCCAGTCCACAAGAGTTCGTACAGACCCCTCTGCAGAGTTCCACGTGCACTCCACGCTACAACACGCCAACTTCGCTTTTTTTTTTGTTCCAGGAAAACAAATGGTGCTTAAAACACATGCTTGTTTTGAGACTGTGCGAGCGGATTCTCAGTCATCCGCGCCTTTATAATTCATTTTTAAAGGAGTTCTAATTGACGTAGCCGGTGCCAGACTTCGAGGAGGCTTTGATATGTACACGCTTTCCTTCGACGGAGCCCAAAAACCCAGTAGGGAGCCCTAATTTCTCCAGAAATCCTGCACTATTTTAGATCACTGCGTTCCACACATGTCAGAAGTGATTACACTGACACGGTGTTACAACTTGACTTGTTGTTATATCCTTTAAAACAGCGGTCCCCAACCTTTGTTGCACCACGGACCGGTTTTAAGTAACAAAATTTTCTACGGACTGGTCATCATGCACATAACAAAAAATAATTGTTTTTTTTCTATTAAAACGTTTCATAAATGAATAAAATTAATTGCTAAATCCGTCTCAGTATCAAGTCTCTCCCACTTTCCAAAGAAGCGGAGATGTTTGTTTTTTTATTAATTTCGGCAACAGACTGACGGCTTCGTTTAACGGATAAAAAGTGACAGAGTCAAGTGTGAGAAAGAAGCGCAGACGGATGCGACGGGAAGACGAGTTAGTCATTTTTCAAAATAAAACACTCTGCAGACTACGCTGGGGGAAAAAAAAATCTATAAAATGTTTTTTTTTTCTTTATGTGCGGCCCGGTACCAAATGACCAACGGCCCGGTACCGGTCCGCGGCCCGGTGGTTGGGGACCGCTGCTTTAAAACCTACAAAGTCGCAGCCTTTCTGAAATGTCCACAGCAGCCAGGTGTGCTTTTCTGAGAACCCTGTGTCTGATTTGAAAGTCTGAATCTGTCTTTACATGAATAAGCATGAATTGGCCCTTGACTTCATCGAACTCTGTGGTTCTCAAACTGTCCGGCAGGGACCTTGCAGTGGCAGTGAAACTATGCAGCATGAATATGATCTATGTAGGGACAACACAAGATAATTAACTGATTTCAAAAGTTGTTTCTTCCATAACTGTTAATGATTGATTTTAAAAAATGTGGGTTGGAGGTGTGTGACACCATCATCTTACAGCTGTTACTGATTCTAAAACCACTAATTTAACAGTGAAAAATGGTAAAACAGAGTTAAAAGGGTTGGGATATTTCATTCAGCCAACTGTACTGTCAGGGTTTAGCGGCTGAGCCAGCCGTGTACCGACCTGCCGGCTGCCTCTGCGGGTGCAGGGTGTGGATGTCCATGGGGAAGTGCAGCTTGTTGCGGATGATCTCCTGGTTCTTGCCGGTGAACTTGTTGGCGCTGTTGATGCTCTTGGTGTGCCAGTCGGTCCAGTACAGGCTGTCCTCAAACACGGTGATGGCGAAAGGGTGTGGAAGGCCTGAAGAGAGACAAAGACAAAGAGTTCAGCCTCTAACTGACGGTTTAACAGAGTGACCGAGCTGTTACACTCGTGGGAAGTTAATCATCAAAGCAAACAAACACGGGCGTGAATCTCGACACCTTCGTAATGAGCAAGAATAAAAAGTCAGCGCGTTTCATGTGGACATTTAAATCTTCTCACACACACACACACAAAACAAAACGGAAAGAACAAACGCTACATTTGGCTTCTTCCACCAACGCTCCCCCAAACATCCTCCCATACAGCGCTGTGGGCTTCGCTGATGTCATATCGTCCCCATTTAGAGCTGCTTTCAATTACTCTGCCTCTCATCGGCCTGTAGCTGGTTTAGTTGTGGTCGGAGCGTCCAAAACCAGAGGCGCTTCATCGGTTTTCCATGCGTAATGTGACTTTTCCGTCCAGAATCTAAATGCGACGTCGAGAACACCCTTTAAAGCGGGTCAGACTGATACTGGACAGACACCGGCCCGGTTCTTGTCTAAGCGCACAATAAAACTGTATTTTCTCTGCTGCATTTTAACAGGAGATATTTATCCGGGTAGGAACATATCCCAGACTCTCTCTGCTACTGACGAGGTGTGCGTTTGGTGTAATCCAAAAACAACATTAAAAGCTTAGGTTTCCAGTAATGGGACAGATTTACATGTGTTGGTGGTCTAAATGCTCTTTAATACCTTTAATATGGTTTGCGGGTTTAACAAGAGAACAGTAAATACTTGGGATTTTTTATTAATGTGGTCGTCTTTAAACTCGGTTTCAGTCTTAAGTACAAGATTTGTCTTCGACATGTGACTAAATACGCAATAATTACAGGTCAAGTTGGAAAAGCAGAGCTGATGTCACTTTCTATAACAAGAGCCAAGAGCACATAGAAAACACAGCTACAGGAATCATTCATCATCCAAGTGTACATTTGTCAGATAATATTGTTAACATAATTGCTGTTATTAGGGAATAAATTGCAAAAATAAAGGGCCTTTAACCCTCTAAATGCCAAACTGTTTCTGGGTATTTTCACATTTTTTCCTCACTGTGGTGTCATTTGTCACTGCGATATAAAGTCCTGCACCTCTGTGGAAATATGAACCCAAGCATGCCTTTTGCACAGTGTAACAATTAAATTCTAAAAAAAAGAAAATGTGTAAGTTGAATTTCTTATTAATTTACAAAAATAGAAGAAAAAAAACCCCAGGAAACCAACATTTTTCCATCTGTTACCAACACTAGCAAAACAACAGTGACTCTACATACTGTCGATTTTTTTTTTTTACTTCTTACAGATTTAATTAGTTTCTATACTTGTCTACACTTATCTGTTCAGCTGAAGTTGTTTTAATTTGACTGTTGGCTGCAGCCGAGTCATTAATTGAGTCATTTTTGGGCTGAAGAATTTTTATGATTTTTACAGAATGGTTGGAGTAAATGGTTCATTTTTGGCAAAATTTTAAATAAGACATGTGAAATAACGCAATTTTCAGCTTAGAACAAATTTATGATATATGATTTATTCAAGGACTATTGGACATCAAAAACCCAATGTCATTCTCCGTTTTTACAGTTTCTGGCTCCAATAAAAGATGGAATTTTGGTGAATTTTTAAAGACAACACGCCTTTCAAAGCTGGCAGGTTTTGGCATTCAGAGGGTGGAACATGTGCAAAACATAATAAAACATTATCAGAACTTCTATCCACTCCAAACGGCTCCACAAAGAACACAGAAAAAGCCCTAATACGAGAATCCTTCATGTCATCAGTTGCTCTACCTTTGGCAGATAACAGTGTTGACAAGTAAAACCTCGTTGCTTTCATTAGGAAGCTGATTACAAAAACAAGCTCCGGGGCCTTTAAAACACAGACTATAAGAGGAACTAGTGCTGCGACTACTTTTGTCATTATCCAAATGTTTGACTTGTGTCGAAAACCGTCAGTAACAGTGTTGGCAGTCCAAATCAATGGAGCCCTGTCCTTAAACACTAACATGTGCGAACAGGGAATCCCTGCAGATTTGTCTCCAGTGGGAACATCTGCTCAGGGAGACTCCTCCACTCTGGTCCAATTTAAAGTTCTCTTTTCCTCCCGCGGAGTAGCTGTGCAGCCAGTTGGACGGGAGCGCCGAACGGATGGAAAAAGTGATTTCTGCTGCTGCGCTGGTGCGCGGCGGTGCGGCGAGCACGCTGGTGTGCGGCTTTTAAAAACAGCGCTGCTCGTTTAATGACAGTGTTTTACAGCGCAGCATAAATGTCAAGTGGTAAATGGCTAAAACTGGAGGGAGACCAGAATGATAATGAGCCACGAGGATCAGAGTAATTGTGTGTGTGGCTCCAGAATAAACCCAGTGAGAGAAAACGTTTCATCATTTTAAGACATTTTCTAACGTCTTGTGTCCAACAAGCTTGTTTGTTCAATCCACCTCTGGTGCTTCAGGAAGATTTAGAGAATGGCTTAATGCACCTTTGTGAGTAGAGAACGTATTTTATTTTGCTTCCTGATAAAGTTTTCTCAAGTCTTTACTACAAATTGGAGGCTGATTGTATCTTGTTAAAGGAATATTGGCATCAAGAATGAAGAAATCGCAAAAATATGTCACCATTTGATAGTTTGTTCACTGGAGAACGTCCCACCTACTACAAATCCTGGTCACAAGAAAGTTTGTCATCTGCTCAAACACATTACTGCCTTGATATTTTGGTTTCAGTTTTGGAGGACGTGGGAAACACAATCTGGGCAGCAAGTTTGTTCCATCCTGTTCTGTCTCTTTGGATCAAAAAAATCATTAAATTATGATTCCGATTAAGTACAGAGCAGTAATAATCTGAGCAGTGCTGGCTTTTGATGCTGGACAGCTTCTGATGCCGTGTGCTACGAGGCAGTAAATGCCATGAATGGATACACAGTCATTAGGGGTTCATTTCCTCAAAAAGTTTAACAGTAAAGTTCTTCTCAGTAAAGAAAGTTGAGAAGAAAATAAAATCAACCAGCACCTCCTCCTCAAACAGCTCCAGGTGTGTGTGAAGCGATGCCGGCTGGATGTGTGTGTTTTCTGATCTTATCCCAACAAGACGGAGACAACAGTACGCCCTCCTTGGAGCTGGCGCCTGGTTTTGATACGGTCACCTTCTTCCTTGTCATCCCTCAGCAGCACCACCCGTCCTGCCCCTTTCTTCCGGGACAGCTGGAGGAGCAGCTGCAGGCTGACAGGGCTTCAAACGTCCCACCAAGCCTTCACAGTTATGTCCCCTTTAGCCTACATGCCGCACCTCCCTGTCCTCTCGCACCTTCGCCGAATCTGTCACAGTCGCTGTTGTGCCGTAGGTCAACACCGCCTCCAGCTGGACAGAACGCCGCTCGGATTACAGCGTGACGGACTGCAGTGCATAAAAACTTCAGTTGCTCACTTTTTGCTTTGTGAATCTCAACATGACGTCGTCGTGCTAGCATCAGTTTTTGGTATATGTAGTCTGTGACGCTGCACAGTGGGATAGCCTACACTGTAAAAAAGAGATTTAAAGGCGCACCTAAAGAATATTAAATGTAAAAAAGTACGTTCAAAATTTGGATAAAAACGGTCCATACTTGCTTTAGACTGTGTTAAAATGGACTTGAGTATCTTGGGTATGATCAGGTATCCTGTTTTTGTATTTGCACATGTAAACATTACAACTTCCAAAACCTGTATTAACCCTTATCCTGGTTTTGAGAAACCCGCTAACGCTAGCCAGAGCCCTCTCAAAGAAACCAGGCTCTCGTCTCCCATTGCAGTCAGTCAACAAGCTAAATTCACAACGCAAACCAGTCAGGTGGAAACCAACAAGATGGCAAACTGCAAAACTGCATTGTTTACCTGCAGAATTCTGGGCCTATTATTGCAAATATTTACTTCAGTTTAACACATTTACATGCATCAGATTGTAGACTTTGAAAAAACCTCGGCTACTAGGTGCAAGATGAATGAATTGTTTCTCCCTTTAAAATAAAACATGTTCACTGTTGTGTCGGCTCAGACCTCTGGTTCCTAAACTCTATTCTTTACGTGGAAAATAATTCAAGTTGAGGTTTGTGCCCTTCAAGTGAATATTTTAAATTTCTGACTTGACAACTTCTAGGGGAAGAAAACACAGTGGCGGTAATTAGGACATTCGTGACACCCAGAGACTGAATCTTTCTGATTCTGGTGACTAAGATTGTTGCTCTGGCAGCACCGAGTGACAAAAAAAAGCCAAACACAGGAGCTGTGCTCATGCAAAAGAAAATCCCATAAAGTTTGCCTCAGTCACTGTACTCAGGTGAAACTACGAGCACTGAGAGTGAGATATCTCAGCTTAGATATTGAGTGCATTACTGTTCTGCAGAGGATGCCTCGTACACATCTAACTGTGCCTAAAAATACCTGTGAAGCTGAGTTTCTGTCCACAAGGGGGCACTGTTTTGCAGGTATACCATCACGCTTCCAAACGGAGAAACTGGATGTCCAGCGTGTCGTCCGTCCGGCAGCATTGTGAATGTGAGCGTACGTTTGTCCTCAGGCAGATGTACTCTAAGATCACATTCATACAAAGAAACCCCCTGACACACACACACACACACACACCCGCCCACACACAAGCCGACACGGCGGCTCCTCTTCCCGTCCCCCACCTCGAGGTGCACAGGTGTGCAGGCTGGATAGCGGCGTTATCCGTGACACCTGTCTGCTGTCCAGCTCCAGTGACAGAGGAGCTGGCACACATCCAGCCACTACCACACACACCACACACACACACACACACCACACACACACACACACACCAGAGAGCTATAGGTGCAGGGAGATAAATGCTCGTTAACATTCCTGGGCACAGCGACTCACAATGTAACACACACACACACACGTCCCATTTGTCCTGTGTGTTGTCTGAGCAAACAGAGGCTGTGGAGGAAGGACAGGGCCAATTACAGCCTTTTATCCTGAGAGCACACATCATTAAGGAGAGCTCACAGGGCTGATGGTGCGCACACACTCATCAAACATTTCCCCTCTCTCTCTCACCCTCTCTCTCTCCTTTCACACTCTTGATCATCACTGATGTGCTGCCACACTCTTTTCACTTTATCAGGACAAAAAAAGAAAACAACAATCCCCTGGAAGCCTCTCCATCAGCTGACACCTGTCCTCACGCTGTACAGTTTCTCCAAATATTCAGGATTCTCGCTTTGTAACCACTGTGAATGGGATTCTTCACCATCAAAACACAGATTTTAAATTAAAATCCCCCTAAAAGCCTCTCAGCT